ACCCAAGGACTTAGAAGACCACATGTGGCCTTGAGGCCACAGGTTCCCTACCTGTGATAAATAAAAAAACACCTATTAGATTTGTGAGCTATTTTTTAAAAATTCTTTAATGATACAATCCACCTCATTTATGAAATCCAAATTAGTCAAGAACTTAGACTCATAAGATTTTAAAGCACTAGAGCTAGAAGGAAATTGAGAGCTCATTTAATTAAATTCTATTATTTTATATTTTAAAATTGAAGACTAAAAAGAAAGAGAAAGCATGGTGAATGAAATTAACTTGCAGAGCTAGAAACAGAAGCTGACTGAATTTCCTCATTTTTAGAACAAAGTTCTTTCCATTATATCACATTGCCATTAGAAAAGGGAGAAAATTAGTGGTATTATTTTTTATACACTAGAAAACAGAATCCAGAATTTAAAACTATAGTTCCTCAGGTAAAATCCAAAACTTTTTAACCTAATATTTAACACTGCCTGTCTACTCTCTTCTTTACTCCACCCCACAACCCAAAGAGGTAATAATAATAATAATAATAATAATAACAACAACAACAATAACAATAATAATGATATATCCAACATATAAGATCATAGATTTGGGGTTGGAAAGAACCTTGGAGCCCACCTAGTCCAAATCCTTCATTTTACTGATGAGGAAACTGAGGCCTGGAGAGAGGAAGTGGCTCCTCTAGGGTCACACAGGTGGCCAGATTTCAAATGCAAGCCCTCTGATTCCTAATCCAGCACTCATTCTACCATATCATACTACCTCCACAATTAGGATTCTGCATTACTAAGTTAATATAAATTACAAGGTTAGCCTTTGGGCCTAACATATCAAACACTTTTGTAATAATAAATTTCAATCATATCCTACATTGACAATTTCCACAGGAAATACAATGCCAGCAGGTCGAAAACTATGTACTTTCATAAGTTACATAATTTAACCTCTGCCTTTTGCATTTATCATCTCAAAAGAACAATGATACCAACAAGTGAAAATTCCTTTCCCTTACCCACTTCTAAAATCTGTTATTTCACCACTGGAGCTGCTGCCTTCTAAACACAGATCACTACCTCTCCTATAATTCAGCATAGTATCCTCAAGAGGTACTTGGGAATTAATGATCCTGGGGTCAACCAAATAAAGAATTTCTTCAAATTTATTAGGTTGGTCCTCACATTATAGACTATTGGCCATTGCTCACCTTGGCAGGACGTGACAGTGATATTGTCATAACCAGGAACTGAGGGTTACCCCCATACTATAGTGAGGCACTGAAAGACAAAGTCAGTGGAGGATCTATAATATTATGATGGCTTAATAATTTATAAAAAGGGTTTATACTGAAAGTTGAGAATTCAGTGAGGAGGAATAAGGTAAATAAAACTGTTTGATTAATAGAAGATATTTATACAACAATATCTTTTAACTGACTTCACTTTCTTTTGTGGTACACATCTGAATGTCTACTTTTGTGATTCAGTCATTTTTCTGTTGTGTCCTATTCTTTGTGACCTTTTTTGGGGGTTTTCTTAGCAGATACTGGAGTGGTTTGCCATTTCCTTCTCTGGTTCATTTTAAAGATGAGGAAACAGGCAAACAAGGTTAAGTGACCTGCCTAGGATCAGACAGCTAGTAAGTATGGCTAGATTTGAACTCAGGTTTTTCTGACTCCAATCCCAGAGCTCTATCCACTCTGCTACATGCTATTTTAGTATACAAACCTTTTATCATCCCTATTCCTAATGAAGTGGAAGCCCAGAGGTTTCTATAATCCCACTCCCACATAAGAAACTAGGTCTCCTGTTGTTCAATTTTCTAATGAATTAAAGAGTAGCTCGAAATCAAGGGTGTAGAAATTGGTTGCTGAAAATAGAACCCCTAATTCAACTTTTTTCTTTTGACCACAAGCATGGTACTTGATGTAAAGTAGAGCTTCTTTATACAATTCATTACGCTACTTGTCTTGTATTATTTTTAAATGAGGGTATTTATCTCAATGGAACAAAAAAGCTAAAGTTCCATGCCCTCTGGGTATAAAAACAAGATTATTCTTTTAAATATAAGTTTTCTTCATGTGGCAATATCAGATCATATCAGAAACAGAATAAAATAGTTATTTCTAAATGATCATTTATTTAGAATATGAAAATAAATCTTGCTACATGATGAATCTTATTGCCTACAGGAAGGTTTGAATAATTAGACAAAGGATTTTTTTTTTTTTTGACCAAGCTGCTCCAAAAGCAATTCATTCTATGAGGATCATCCGGGCAGAAAACTAATTAAACCAGACACTAAAGGTACCTTTCTAGTGTATACATAAACCTTCTTCTTCTGTTATCTATATGAACATAAGGAAAAGAGAGAATGACATAATATTACAAGAAAGAAAAAGAAAAAGAATATAGTGCTAGAAAGCACATGAGTATGTAAAAACTCTGTCACTAAGCCAATTCATCTGCCAGGTTGGGCATAACAGTGAGACAAACAGCTTTAGAAAACCTATAGTCATCGGTTAAAGTAGAACACCATAAGAAGACTTCCTAGGAAAACAATTTCATTCTTCTATAGGAAAATTTCGTAAAACAAATATTTATGAATTTTATAATTTAGGGGAAAATAGAACTTTCTAAGTCTTTCTGTTTGAAAATATCTATTATCATAATAATCACAAGAAAAGAGGGGAACTGGTGTCATTAATGGCATGGTTTTATTAAAAACAAGGGAGAGAAAACAAAGTTCATACAGCAAGTCTGAGACAAAAAGCTTGAGAAGTGGAACACAGGTTTTCTTATCAGCCAGGCACTGGTCTGGTCCCCTAATCTTACTGATTGATTACATTTTTCCACTGTCATCAACTAGCAATGAAGTGGTCCCTATCATCCTTTACAAAGTTAATTTGTTGGTGGTATAATTATATACCTTATTAATTAATTCCACTGAGGGAAAAGTGTGTGTGGGAGGTGGGGTGGAGAGCAAGATTTGAATGAAATGACATAGGTCCAATATTACTAATAATTATGTGCCATTTAGTTGGGTGGGGAAAGTTGATGCCCCTTACAACAAAAGCAACGGTGTGACACACTACCTTAGCATATGTGCTTGGAAAGTAGCAAGGAAGGGGGGCAGCTAGGTGGCCCAGTGGATAGAGCATCGGCCCTGAATTCAGGACCTGAGTTCAAATCCGGCCTCAGACACATAACACTAGCTGTGTGACCCTGGGCAAGTCACTTAACCCCATTGCCTAGCCAAAAAAAAAAAAAGGTAGCAAGGAAAGACAGGTAGAGCCCACAAAATGTGTGCAACAACTAAAATTTCCATAGCCATTTAAGGTTTGTGAGGCATTTCATGTTAATTTCTTTATTTGAGCCAAAAAGCAAGCTTCTGAAGAAGGTATCACAGTTATCAGTAGCCTGAATTTACACATGAGGAAACAGTCTCTAACGTCAAACTGCCACCCAGGTTGGGGAAACTACCCTTCCTGGAGTGGGAATGAGGGCTGACTGTGGCAGTAAAAAGCTGGGTCAAAAGGGAGGTCACAGCTACCTGGAAAGCAGTTAGACATCTGGATTTCTTTCCCAATGGTATAGTGAATGGGGCACTAGATTTGGAGTCAGGAAGACCCAGGTTCACCTCAGTGGGTGGCTTCCAAGGTCCTTTCCAGCTCTACATCTATAACCCAAGTGGAACAGATATGTCAAAGATACTCTTATCTACAGATACCTCAATGCTCCCAGCACTCAGGTAACCTGTGAAAATCACTAGACGTGAAAAAAAGGCTCAACAACTTGAGAAAGGGCTCCACGAAGTCAAGTCTCCACCCCCCCCCCCAAAATACTGACTTGGCTCTTTAGCTTCCTTAACTATCTCTAACCTTCAGGTAATTCAGCTTTTATATGCGAGTAAGTTTGGGAGAAAGGGAAAGTCTCACACCACCAGTCATGTTATGCTAAATGGCTTCCTGCAGTGCTTCTGCTTATTCTCCCCTTTCCCTTTCGGCTGGAGTGAAGACAGAAAGTGAAAGTGAGGTAGAGGCCCTTTTGCTCTTCTTCTTGTTCTTAGCCCCAGACAAATCATGAATGGTTTTAGACCTTATGTTCTTTGCGTGGGATTCCCTAATAAGGTCAGTAAACAGGTTCCAAAGGGAGAGTTGGAAATCTTTGCTAGCACAGGTAACTTTCATAAGTAAAACAAAAAAGCACCACGTATTCTGAGGGGTTCAGACACAGAAGTTAGGGCTTGATAAGCTCTTGATCTCAATAAGTTAGGTAATAAATCTCTAATTTGAAAACCATTCTTCAAAAAAGCCAAGAAATCACATGGAAGGAAAATAACATAAGGAAATACATTTTCCAGGGTCCAAGTGTTTTCAGACGTTAGAGTCCGCCCACGGGAGAAAACTTCTAATTTGGGACTGGGAGAATATTTTGTCAGACACAGCCAGGAGGTGTCCGGAGAAGGGCCTGGCGTCCATGTGCTATGATCTCTTGGAGGACCTGGGGGATATTTAGCTTGGGTGGGATTTTCTAAAGCCAGACGTTATCCAGGATTTATGTGAGGGGGCTGGCTAGCCTTGCTTTGTTTGGCCCAGAGGCCAGCTCTAGGCACAGGGGGTGGAAGGCAGAGGCACACTTTCGTTGCACTATGAGAGGCACAGCGTCCAGTACTCAGTGGGGTGCCAGCTGTTCATGCCAGAGTACCTGTGAGTATCGTGTCTAACTAGGGGGGAGACCACTAGTGGGTGAAGAATCGCTTGTTTATAGTAAGACCAGAAGGGCAGCGAATGACCCCTGGCCATCACGCCTCAGGAAGTTCTTCTGAGAGACATGAGGTCAACATTGGAAAGGCACGTAGCAACTCAGAAGAAGCCCAACAGGCGTCTTCTCGAAGCCCGCCGTCCGCAAAGGTCAGCGCGCTGACCTCCAACAGCCAATCGGCGCCCGGGAGCGCTCTGACGTAGGCTTGGCGCTCTCCTCGTCAGCCCATTAAGCGCCAGCCTTGCCCTCCCCTCAGACCCTTCGGCACATGCAGCGGCAGAGCACACAGCTCCTGAGCTTTGACCGAAGCCTGAAGGCCTCCAGCAATCGAGGCCTCACCCTGAACCCCAGCCCCACTAATTCCAAGATGGATGGGCTGAGGAGATGGCGCGAGGCCGACCAAGGGCTTGCCACAGACTTCGTGAGGCGGCGCCAGGCAGCCTTAAGCAGGGAGGGGGCTATGAGCAGCCGCCCAAACTGGGCTGGCCAGCAGCAGCAGGAGGAGGAGGAGGCGGAGGAGATAGAGGTGGAGGTCGAGGCTCTGGCCTTGGCCACGGCCTCAGGCAGCCCCAGTGAGGCAGAGGAGCAGAGTGAGCTCGGGGCTCAGGCAGCAGCAGCACAAGAAGCAGCAGCAGCCGAGGTAGCAGCAGCCGAGGCAGCAGCAGTAGCAGCAGCAGAGGCCGAGGCTGAGGCTGAGGCAGCGGCCTTGGCCGACAGCGGCACCCTGGAGGACGACCAGATGGAGCTGGAGGATGAAGGCGACGCCATGGAGGAGGAGGAGGCCGGCGACGCCGCCTCCTCAGCCTTTTCCTCAGATCGTGGGCCCCAGACCATAGTCGACGACCAGGGTTTCCAGGAGGGGGAGGAGGAGATCGGCCTTGAGGAGGAGGGCGAGCGAGTGGCGGCGGCTGCGGCCTCGGCTGCAGCCCCCTTCCAGCAGCAGCTGCCCTTGGAGGGGGCATTTGGAGGGGGCGGGAGCGCCTGCAGAAACGGGGGAGGAGATGGCGGCTCCGGCCCCGGCTCCTTGCTGTTCGGTGCTGGGGTCGGGGCCCCTCCTCCCGGGGGGGCAATAGCCTGGCTGGCCCATGGGCGGGCGGGGTCCCCCTACACCGGGCCCCGAGGGAGCCACTGGAAGCGAGGTGTCAAGAGGCCTCGTGAGGAGCAGAGCCGGGGCTTCGCCAACGGCTTGGAAGGCAACCAGTTCGAGCCAGCGCAGGCTGCCGCGCTGCCTCAGCAGGCGCCCCAGCTCCCCGCGCTGCCCCTGCCAGCCCCGGCCCCTGAGGAGCCCTCCGCTTTCGGTCTGGGGAGGAGAATGCGCCTGGTGCTGCTGGGCAACCGGGGCCCCAACTAGGAGCAACAGAGGAAGACAAAACGGACCATGATTCCAGGTGAGGCGAAACCTCCCCCCGCGGGTGTTCCCCCCCATCCCCATCCCTGGCGAGCCGACCAAAGGCGGGACGGAGTGGGGGCAGGGACTGGTGGGGGGGTACCCCGAGACGGGGTGGGGGGGCTGGGGGGAGTGGGGGACAGAAACGGGAGGGGGTAAATGCAGAAAGAGAAAGGGTGGGGGAGGGAGAGGGAAGCAGCGAGGGGAGGGAAGAGAGGTAGGGAGACTAGAGAGGGGGGGAGGGAGGGTAAAGGCAGAAAGGAGCAAGAAGAGGAGGTGAGGTAAAGTGCCCCCTCACCGAAGGGCTTTAAGTAGAAGATGGTTCAATAGAGCACCTTGAGAATCATAAATTTTGACTTGGATACGACATTAGAGCATCTAGCCCAACAGCCTCATTTACGGGAAGAGATTTAAAAAAAAAAAAAAGCCCTCGGACCCGGGGAAGGGAAGAGGCTTATCTAGATCATTTGTATAGGCAGCTGGTTGAGTCAAGATTAAAAATCTTCTGAATTTAATACAACACTATTTAATACTGACCACTACTCACTTCCCATCGCTGGTAGAAGAGAGTACTTTGCAAAAAAAAATGTTAAATGTAAGCTTTTTTATTATTATTCATTATGCGTCTCTGGAAATGAATAGCCACCTGCTTAAAAATGTCGTGCAGGTAGCTCCTGCTTACAAGGGAGAGGCTGGATTCTTCTGAGGTTCTTTCCAACTCTGAGATTTTACAGCTCTATGATATTCATTTAAAGGCCCTTCCAAATTCTATGGTGCTATTCTATGCCTAGAAATACAAATCTTACCTTTATGCTTTTAATAGACTCTTTGAATTATATTTGAATTATATTATTATTGTGGCATAGCAGATTAAGATATAAAAGGGTAGACTATATACTCTATCTATATATATTTTAATAATCTTTTTTCCTGCATATTACAAAAATATATGCATCATTTGAATAAATATGTAATTATTTGATTCATATTTATGAACACTAGTGTATCTGTACAATCACAGAGTACCTAGAAATATGGTCCTTCCCTTAAAATCTGAACAGTTGACTCTTTCCTCTACAATTCAGGCATTTTAGGAAACAATATGAATTAATGATGTTCTTGATTTTTCTCTGTGAATTTCTGAATTAGAGCATGAGGTCCTATTATCACTAAAATCACTATGAACATAGCTTGCTGAGGTGGGATTTCGGCCATATGCATGAATGCAGAATTTAACAGTTTGATATTTTATCACAGATAATATGTGAAGAAAGATGACAGCAGAAAGGTTTCAAGAGAAGATCTTCTTCCAAGGCCCTGCCATACTATGTTGTTGCTTCCTTTAAAAGAATATTCAGAAAATAAATAAAATTGAAAGTCAAAATACTGATTCAGTCTGTTATTTGCAGAAATAAATACAGAATGGTAGAGTTAGCATTATTTTGCAAACATTTCAGCATCTGTGCTGAAATGTATGAATATCTGTACATATGTACATATATGTGTATATGTGTACGATTGATAGGTAATATTAAGAACTTCTTTCTCTAGAACCAAACTGAGAACAAAGATTCCAGTAAAGTGAAGGAAAGGGCATATGGTACATATTCTAACAGAAATAATATCACAGGTTTCCTGTAGTTCAAGCTCCAAATAGTAATTTGACAAAAAAGATCAATAGATGGTGATAGATTGTTAAGAAGAATTAATAATGCTTTAACAAATGGGTAACTTGTCTCCACCATTGTCATTAAGATTTAAATTTATTCCCAGCCATGAAATACAAGATTTTGGTAATAAATATCTTCCCTTTTGCACCAAATCACAATCACTCTTTCACCTGCACAGTACCTGTACAACACTCTCCTTTAGGTCAAATAGTCTCTGAAGAACTGTAGCCCATTCTAAGTCTGAACTATAATTGTTGGAAGATTTGATTTATATCTAGGCAAAATCTGCCCAGTACTATGTACCTTCTACCAATCAGTCCTAGTCCTGCCCTCTAGAGCCTATTAAGACAAGGATAATTCTTTTTCTTTAAGGAACGGCTTTAATCCTCAATAACACCTACAATGTCCCTTCTCTAAAGTCTGGCTTGCAGGCTAAATATGCCCAATTCCTTCAACCCAAATTCAACTTGCCACAATTTCAAGGCCTTTTACTGTGATAAATCATCCTCTGAATGTATTCCAGTTTGTCCACATCTTTAAAATGAAGTACTCAGAGTAATATATACCTTATTTTCCAGATACAGTAAAGTCAGTATTTAGCACTATCATCTCCAAAACTGTCAACAGTATGCCTTAATCCAGCTTATTAAATAATATAAATAACAAAATCTATTAACGTACCTTTTTGGGCTGCTATATCAGTTTTGACTCAGGCCGCTTAAATGACACTCCACATCTTTTCTCACACACGCTGTTGTCTAGCTTTCAGATTCAGCAATTAAGAGATCACTGATAACTCCGAAAAGCAGTATCATTTGAGTGATAAAGTCAAAGGCCAGACTGCAAAGGGTTAAAGAGTGGTGAGTAAGATGAAGTGAAGGCAGTGTGTGTGTGTGTGGGGGGGGCTTTTTTCAAGGAGTTTAAGAAAGAGGAGAGATTTAGGACAATAATTTGAGTGGTTGGAAGACTTTAATGATTTTTTAAGGATGGGGGAGACCAGGGCTTTGAAGGCAGTAGGAAAACAACCAGTTAATAAGGGAAAGATTTTAAGAGAGCGGGGAATGATTGTGGATGCAATCTGCTAAGAAAGATGAGAGGTAATGAGATCAAGTGCACACTTAGAGGAGCTGACCTTGTTAAGAAGGGCTACCTCATTGTTAAAGACAGAGTAAGAAGAAAATGGGGGATGTCAAGGAGTTTTGAGTCAAAGAGAACTGGAGAACAGGGAACACACGTAGAACTTGCCTCTATTTGAGCTTACCTAACCCAAATTATTTTATAAAGGAGCAAACTGCAGCTGAGAGAAGTTACTTTTCTGAGATCAGTTAGACAACAAGTAGTCAGCATTCAAACTGAGGGCCTTATCCTATCATCCTCATTTCCACTGTAGCACACCACTCTGAAAGAGTGGTGCAGTTTTCAAAATGCAATCCAGTCCATTCTCTTCTTTCTATTTAATTATGAGTATAGGTCACTGTTATCTGTGGTGCTTGTCCTAAATTCATTTATTGTAACACGGTTACACTTGGTTAGGCTCATCTGCTTTTTAGTGCCTGTAGACCTTAGTGAGGCTATGCCTTCTTTTAAAATCAGGTAAGTATGCCAAAACAGCTACATAAAGGTACTCCAAAAGGAAAAAAATGTAGAGCACGGTCTATAACTGAGTCTGGGGACACTAAGTAATGACTAGTAAAGAGAAATCAAAGCATTTTCTTTGTCTTTAATAAGATTAGAGATGTAAACTGAACCAACAATAGCTTCCACCAATGGATCACTTAAACCAAGGTCCCAAGAACTGCACAAATAGACAAATACTAGAGGATGCATGCTTATTCAAAAATCAGGAAATCAGACAATGAGAAAATGTCCAAGCCATGAAAATGAAGCAGTCTTATCTATATATACCTGAAATTGGGAGCTCTGCTCTCTAATTTTTGATAATTTCACAAGTAAATATAGAAGGATATTATTTTCTCATTACGAACAAAATTATACAAGAGGGATTAAATGTTTTAGAATTCACAATATGATTGATTTCATCACAGGTGTTGTGTGTTTATATCTCAGTTTATTTTTCATAGAACTAAAAAGTAAAAGGAAAAAATATTTTTTGCAGTTTGACTTGCTGAAAATCATAAAACATGAAAACAACATTTCAACAGTTGTTTCACTATAATTAGTTGCTAAGTTATCAATTTAGGCTAGGAGTACTATGCTAACAAATAAAATTTGACAAAATTTTTGTCAAATTCCACTTAATTGATTCTCCCATCCCAGTATCTTCCTGCTTCTCGTTCCCCTTTTAATATTTCTCATCTATAACAAATCCCTTGAATGAAGCTTTCTAACTTACCATTAAAAGTATGTGCCTAGAACTGCGAGATGGTAGTATTCAGTAATTCTCAGGGAGATAAATTAATGGCTTACTTATTGATAAACATTTTTATGTTTCAATACTTTGGTAAAGGGGACAAGATGAGCTAAAACACAATCACCCTATTCTGGAAGAGAATCATTTAAAGTCAGATAAAAAACAAACACACACCCAAAAGGCTATAAATGAACCTTCGCGGATCCATGGAAACTGCAATTAAGCAAAATGCCAATGGGCTGGAGAGAAGCACAATCCGTAGGTTAAAGTGTAAAGCGGAGAGTTAGAATGATGGCTCAGGTGCTGTATGTCTTTGATTACCCCAGCATACCTTGTGACATCTGTTATATAGTTAATGCTCTTGTTAAAAGTAAATTTCATGGCAATCAGGCTGATGAATAGATAAATTTATAAAAGACCAATAAAGGTATACAATTACCAAAAAGTTATGGAGTAGTGGAACAGGTTTGATGAAGCAAGTAAGAAAAGTAACATGTATATAGTTGCTCTTTCCTCTACCCAGAACTAGAATGTAAAAGGTCCTTCTGCTATTCCCTCACGTAAACCAACGGTTTGCCTTCCCTCAAATAATTGATCTTTGGCATCACTGTGACACTAGTCCACCTTTATAATCAGTCAAACAATCATTTATTAAGTGCTTACTATGTGCACTATGCTAAGTGTTCTCAAGGAGCTCACATTCTAAAGGGGAAGACAACATGCACACAAACTATGTACATACAGAATTGTATACAGGCCAAGTGGAAGGAAATTTCAGAGGGAAGCCTTCTTACAAAAGGTGACATTTGAGCTGAGTCTTGAAGGAGAACAGAGAAACCAGGAGGTGGATTTGAGGAGGGGGAACATTCTAAATATGGGGGACAGTCAGTGAAGGAACAGCAAGGCCAGTGTAGCTGGATCAGAGTAGGTGGAGGAATGTAAAGTATAAAAATACTGGAAAGGTGGGAAGGGACAGGGTTGTGAAGAGCCATAAAGGCCAAACACATCATTTTACATTTGATCCCAAAGGTAATAGGGAGCGACTGGAGTTTATTAAGTAAGGGAACGGCATGGTCTGACCTGGGCTGAGTAGAAGAGGATGACCTGGAGTGGGGAAAGACTTGAATCAGGAAGATGGACCAACAGGCTATAAGGGCCCATGCTAGGGGAGCAGCTGGTATAAGTAGCCATGTGATGATGAGAATGAAAAATACATGGGAAATATTATGAAAGTAGAAATAAGATTTGACTGAATATGTGGAGTGAGTGGGGAGGTGAGGATGACACTGAGGTTGTGAACCTAGGTAGCTAGGATAATGATGGTGCTTTTGATAGCAATAAGAAAGTCAGAAAGGGGGGAATCTTCAAGGGAAATAAATTAGTTTTGCTTCAGAAAAAGAGGGGGGAAAGTTTCTGACTAGAACATTCATTCTGTTCTACCAGACTGACCACTTTTTCCTCCAAAGGAAAATATCAGTTCAACGAACCCTCAAAAATTAAAACATAGGGGCAGCTAGGTGGAACAGTGGATAGAGCACCGGCACTGGAGTCAGGACGACCCAAGTTCAAATCCAGCCTCAGACATAACACTCACTAGCTGTGTGACTCTGGGCAAGTCACTTAACCCCCAATTGCCTCACATAAAAAAGAAATTAAAACATAAACTTAATCATGTAACTTCTAAGAACTGCCAGATTTTCTTAAAAAGCAGTCATGTCCCTTTGACACTGTACTGAGTATTTCACAATCATACCTTGATTAATTAGCTTGCTGTAAGTTGCATTTTTTGCTCATCTACTTTTAACTCACATAAACACCTGTAATGGAACCAGATGTGTATTTCCTCCTTGTGGGTTTGTCTGTGCAGTGCAGTTCTGGTTATTTTAGCTATATAGAACGCCAGTGACTGGGAAACTTTCTTCTTAGCTCTAGGTTAGAAAATCTAATCCCTGGTCCACTATTGGAGTATACTTCTCCAAGAACATGTATTATAAGTTGCTTATCTGGTATTTTTGCTAGTTATAAGCTCCCCAAAGCAGAATTTTAAAGGGAAACTGGAATGACTAATGAACCTAATTTTCACTGTGGATCATCTCTCATGGTAGGAGCCTGAGGTAGTTTGGTGAGGGAATACAAGTGGTGTGGTTGTAACTTGAGCTCACTTCTACCAAGACCTCTTAAATATTTTTTTCTTTATTCATTTTTAACATTCATTTTAAAAAGACTGAGGGGCATCTAGGTGGTGAAGTGGATAGAGCACTGGCCCTCTCAGGAGCCTGAGTCAGGAGGACCCGAGTTCAAGTCCAGCCTCAGACACATAACACTCACTAGCTGTGTGACTCT